TCAGCACTGTGTCTCAATGAAAGCTTGTCAGTTGAAGGTGTTCGCTTGACGAAGCGTTACTCCTAACTTTGACCCTTGCTCGAGGTGGTCAATCTTTCGGAGTCGTTCTAGCAAACAAGAGAACCCAAAAGAAACGATGACAGCCACAGGGACACCGATTCTCTGCTAGTCTATACACCAGAACACAGCAAGCTCAGTGCTTGCTGCCATATTAAAAAGCACATGGTGCCGTCTGTTGCAAGCGCGGCGAAGCAACACTCTCAACTGCCAGGCGAGCAGACACTCTGTAAATCAAACTCGGGTCCGGCTGTAAGCATGTTTCGCGCTGTTTCAGTGCTGGAATTTCATGCTGATTTCATGTGAAACGTCGAGGAGACCTTCCTTGACAGTCCGTAATGTCTGCAGCACGTGCATTGCAGACTAGAAGAGCAGCTTCATCACGTACGTACTATTGTGGTTGAAAGAAATGCGAACAGCGGAAAGCGTTGCCTTCGACTTGGTTTAGGTTAAGGTTCGACTCGGACAAGGTTAAGAACAGGACATACATACACTACACATTCTATTCTTTTGTCTAGTGGCGATCCACCTCTGTCTGATAGATGTGAAGAAGCGCTCACTGTACTCCACATTCTGATTCAGTGCAAAGAATTAGACACGCTAAGAAGACGACACTTTCTACTACCCTACCAACAACAAACACCACTTCATCCTGCAATGTTCATCGGTAGGGAACCACTTTTCACACATAAATCTTTGTTAGCTTTTATGAAAGACGTTCATACTTTTCATATCATATACCTGGGCGTGCCATAGTATGATCTCTCTAGAGAGGTCTGCGCTGCGGTGGCTACACTCAACAAAACACTTGCCTCACAGCCCTTGGACGCAAGGGTGTGAACGATCGAGGCACTAGTGTTTATGCCATACATGTCCACCATGGTTTTTATTATCACAAACTTTCGTCATCCATTAACACCACACACTTTTCACGGCATGGTCATGATTTTATCAACTTCTATGTTGTTACCCGCCTTAGGGCGAGAAATTTTAAGGCCCTTATATAGCCGCTAATCACAATAATTGTTCACATCTCTTGTCCCATAAACTGGCACTCTTTGGCCATCAAATGGCCCTTGCGCCACAAAACATAAAACAACAACTGACCCTTTCATTTAAGGTAGCGGGAGCTAGTCAAGCTGTTTCAGTGGGGCTTTTACTCCCGCTATCCTTCATCTAGCATGAAACATGAAAATAAGGATTCAATTCAATAAAAAAAGTCATATAAAGTGAAGGTTATTTTGTAGAAAGAAGATAGCTGCATCGCGTTGTTTTTGCATGCTGTATACCTTTGTCTGAGTAGCGCTAGGATGAAATCTGCAATTACATATCAAGAGGGAATATTTTAGTGGATAAAAACAGGAAATATCTGGACCTCAAATACTAGCTTGCTGACAATCTCAAGCAATCCTACGAAGAAAGGCATTGTAGATATAACAGTATAGAACATCCCTGTTTTCAAGGCCCACCCACAAGCAATTTTAAAGCTACAAATTTACATCGCTGAAGAAAAAAAACTGCAAAGACATAAAAAACCCATTTCTTGAACGGCATAGAATACTTTTGTCTCACACACTCTCTTTCGCACATCCTGTATTACATTAAAAAGCTGAAATATTACACTCAGTAAATTGTTTGTTGAACCGATGAAAGCCTAGTTTATGTTACAATCTTGTAAATGCAGTATTTTATTAGATTTTCAGTTGGTAACAAAGGTGTTGTACGTGGTAGGGTTGGCGTGAACTTTCCTCAAATAATAGTGTTCAGTAAATACATAGTGTTCAGTAAATAATAGTGTCCAGAAGTACACACTTAAACTACCTAAGGTCTGTCTGGCTACTGTCTAATTTACGTGGCTACACAATAGCTCACAGTTTGTTGAACCAGCGTCCTGAGGAGGCGATAGTCCACGCACGGTGACGACCCTTGCCCGTAGCGAGCAGCAGGAGAAAAGGCCTCTGTCAGGCCTCACATTCGTAGTCAACTTTCAGCCATCTCAGATGGCGACAGCAATCCGGAACCCGTCGTCTCTGTCGTGTATACCGACGTAGCAAGAGCCGCACCCAGTGTCGGTAACCCCAGACAGATACCACTGCTCCCGGACCTCGATCCCCAGGGAACAGGCAGGAGGAGCTCCTCGGACAGCACCCTGGTCCGGCGTCTATCAGCTGGAGCCATCGTCAGGACCACCAGGCGAGCACTAGGCACTCTGTTAGCACTCGACAAAAACCTCCAAAGACAGCGGCCTGGTCTGGCGTGTCCTTCTGCTAGGTCTTGATTGGCTCTCTGCGCAATACTCACGCGCCTCTCTTCTTTTTCCTCTTGTTCCACCAGCCACCACCTGTCGCTGGCTCGGCGCCTTGTCCTCGTCCTTTTCCTTGTACGTCCGCACAAACATTTCCAAATTTCACCAAAGTTTCCACGTACACACATTTGCACCACACAAAGTTCGTTCACATGCAGTACAGCCAGGCCCCTGTGATAGTTGGCAGCAGAAGCAGAGGAGAGAATGTCATCATCAGCTGCCCCAAAAGAGTGAGCTGGATCAGGATCAGTTGAACATCTTGCCTACATGGTGCCCTTCTACAGAAGACCACCACCTCACCTGCAACAGTTTTCCAGATGAAGCACACATTAGATAATTAACAGCAGCATCTAGGCACCTGGTTCTCTATTTCTGGCACTAATATGAATATGATGATGAAAGTTAGCATTCAGTAGTCATTTATCATAGTGATATCATAAATTAGTTTTGGGGAATGATATAGTTTTTGAGTTAGAATCACGGGGCGGTGATTTCCGAACAAAATGGACACGTTTCTCAATATTCTCCCAGAAACTGAAACCTTCGCATCCAAAAGTTGCAAGTTATGGTGTGAAGAATGTAAAGTGATTAAAAAAAAACACAACTTGCATCGTGCAGAGGCTTAACCTCCAACCTTCATATCGAAATATGGCAAGTTCAGTCAAGGTTACAGGTGCAGTTTCTATCGGATGCAAGTTGTGTTCTTCTAGTCGCTTTTATATTCTTTGCATATATATATAACTATTACTACAATGCAATTAGAGGAGCGTCGATAGAAAATTTTGATGGCGATATAATGAGAGATCTATTTATCTCGAGACACAAACAATATCTACAACATGTCGAAGGCAAATATAGTCTAGAATATGTTCAAAATCAATTTAAAAGTGCGTGCCACATGACTGCAGGTGTGGAGCCCGTTGTGACAACATCAACACGACCAGAGTCCAAACAAGCCCACGTCAAAATATCGTGTTAGAGTCCTGACAGTGGTATAGTGGCTAAGTCATTCGGCAGCTGGGTCGCAGGATAGAATCTCGGCCACGTGTTGTCAGCATCCAGCTAAATTCATGTAGCCTGATGCCAGGTACAATTGTGCCACGTGAGATTACATCTGTTAACAAGGCTACTTGGGAGCGACAACTATACGGAAGCTATTCACACGAAGTCATCCACAAAGAGCACAGAAGCTATTCACACGAAGTCATCCACAAAGAGCACTAGTGCCACAGCCACTGTAATTGTGGTCACGTGCAATCGTCATCTTAATACCACGACCAAGGTGCTTGGTCTGAGTAATTGTTTAGAATTTTTGTTTCCTCATCATTTAACAAGACATCAAAGTGTCATATGTCAGATCACTGAACAACGGCTATTTTGGCCAGATTTGGGTACTCACTGGCCCCACCTTGTAGCTAAGCTCTGTGAATACTCTATAGGATCTTGCAGCACTTTTCAAGCACTACCGTGGCTCTGTAGCAAAATGCTCGAGTGCCCGGGTTCGATTTTGGCTTGATCTCCTGTAGCAATGTTGGCTCAAATGCAGTGTCCCCACGCGACGCTGATAGTTGTGTTGAGCTGTGCAAGCCTGGCACAGCGGGGGTGGCCGTTTCGGAAACAATAAACCACAGTTCGTTCTAGCAGAGGGCTTAACATGCTCTCGTATTCTTCGCGGGCCTGCTGGCCTACTGTTCACGGTAGTCACTACCGCCTGGCCATCCGTTAATCTATACACATGTATCAACTGTCGACGAGGATGAAAGGGAGTTTCATGTAAGTCTTCATTTCCGCACCACTTTGCCATCTGTTCACCATGCCAAGTTTTGGCAACCTCGAGCCGTTTGAGGGAGAAGGAGACGACTGGCCCTGTTACGTGGACCGGCTCAAAGCATTTTTCCTGGGGAATAATGTCGCCCCAGACAAGCGTACTGCCGTGTTCATCAGCTGCTGCGGGCAGAAAACGTATGCTTTGTTCCGCGATTCGGTCAAGCCCGCCAAGCCCAGTGACAAGACGCTGGACGAGATTCTTCAAGTTCTTGGAAGCCATTCATGCCTGAAGCCCTCTGCCGTCGTGCAGAGTTTTCGTTTCAACTCGCGTGTTCGCACGGAAGGGGAATCCATTAGCAATTTTATCACAGCACTAAAAAGCCTGTCCGAGCACTGCAACTTTGGGGCTGAACTCAAAACATGCTCTGCGACCGCGTCGTGTGTGGTATGAACAACGTGAATGTCCAGACAAGATTTTTGGAAAAACCGGACCTCACCTTCGACGACGCTGTGCAGACCGCCCTGGCAATGAAAGCAGCAAAAAGGGGCGCAGGTGAAATAGCGCAAGCCAACAGAAGCAGCGCTTTCTCGACTCACCGTGTCTCGTCAGGTTCTGGGGACGTAACCTGCTACCGCTGCGGGGACGGACATCTTGCATCAAAATGCAAGCATGTGAAGACAATCTGCAATTACTGCCACAAACGAGGTCATTTGGCGAAGGTGTGCAATTCGAGACGAAGAACTAGCCAAGCCCAAAGCAACAGCCCTACCAAAGCACGTTCGTTGGCTTGCAGTTCAACGTCATCGAGTAACTGTCATCGTGTTAATACTGTACGCAAGCATCGTGTTAATACTGTACAAAGTTTTTGACATGTGGCCGGTCGACTACGCCACGCCGCCTCCGCCTTTCACAGTCACTGTTGACGTTTGCGGCAAGCTGCTCCGCATGGAAGTGGATACAGGGGCAAGTGTCTCTGTCATGGCCAAGTCACGGCTTTTTCAGCTTTTGTGTTCGGTTCCTGTGCAGCCGTCACAAGTGCTTCTGCGAAGCTATTCCCGGGAACTAAAAAAGGTTCAAGGCAAAGCTGACCTCACTGTGAAGTTTCATGGCAGGGAGGCCGACCTACCAATTTTGCTGACCGGAGACGGATCGCCCACTCTTCTTGGACGCAACTGGCATCGGCATCTCAGATGTCGAAGTGAACATCCACACACTTTCCGACGTCAAACACCTAGTCCAAGACTACGCTGCAGTGTTTGAAGAAGGCCTGGGTACATTCAAGGGTGCTAAAGCTTCTCTACATGTTCCTTCAGATGCTCCGCCTCGGTTCTTCAAGCCGCGTCCACTGCTGTATGCTTTGACAGATGGAGTAATTCAAGAAATTCATAGACTAAGAAGAGATTCCATTCTTGTTCCAGTCAAGACAGCAAAGTGGGCTGTACCTACTGTTCCTGTGACCAAAAGGGATGGACACATCAGAATCTGTGGAGACTTTGGTGTCACCATAAGCCCAGTATCAACAGTGGAGCAGTACTCCATTCCAAGGATCAAGGACCTGTGGACTGTGCTTGCTGGAGGTGAGAAATTCACAAAATTAGATTTGCGAGATGCGTACCAGCAAGTTGTCCTTGACAAAGCCTCTAAGGGGTATGTCGCAATTTCGATGCATATGGGGCTATTTCAGTACACCCGGTTACCTTGTGGCGTCTCATCTGCTCCTGCCATATTTCAGCGCGAGATGAGAACTTGTTCAGGAGACTGCCCCATGTAGCAGGCTATTTTGACGACATTCTTGTGACTGGTGCAAATAATGCTGAGCACCTTTGCAACCTTCGTGCTGTGCTTAGCAAGCTTCAGGAATCTGGCCTCACGCTGAAACTTGAAAAATGCCAATTCTTCGTACCACAAGTTGAATATCTCGGGCACATCATCAACAAGGAAGGCCTTTCCCCGAATGTTGACAAGGTAGCAGCTATTCTGCATGCAACTATGCCTCAGGATGTCAGGGAACTTCCTAGTTTCTTGGGACTTGTAAACTTCTACAGACGCTTCTTACCCAATCTTTCGTCACTCCTACGTCCACTGCACTTGCTTCTTTGTGAAAGGAAGAAGTGAGAATGGGGACATGAACAACAAGATGCATTCAATGCCTGCAAGCACTTGGTGACATCAGCTCCAGTTCTTGTGCATTTCAACCCTGCCAGGCTTGTGTGCCTCAGCTGTGACGCATCGCCATATGGTATACGTACAGTTCTGGCGCACAAATATGCTGATGGCAGGAAACATCTTATTGCTTTTGCTTCGAGGAGCTTGTCAAATGCAGAACAAAACTACAGTCAACTCGACAAGAAGGCACTGGCTTTAGTGTTTGATGTGGATCGGTTCCACCAGTACTTGTTGGGCATCTCATTCAAAGCATACACTGACCACAAGCCACTTCTTGGACTGCTGGGTGCCAGCAAGCCCGTTCCCGTGCAATCTTCGCCTCGAGTGGTCAGGTGGGATCTGAAGCTGTCTGCTTACAAGTACGAACTTGTATACAAGCCTGGCAAAGAGCTCGGCCACGCTGATGCTTTTAGTAGACTGCCTCTCCCAACTGACACTAGTGCATTACCACGACCTGTTGAAATTTTCTTGCTAGAGGAGGCATATCCGAGACTCCTTTCACCAGGTGTTGTGGCCCAAACCACACGAAATGACCCAATTCTGGGTCATGTTGTTTTTGCTGTTCTGAAAGGAGAAAGCCTCCCAGTAGGACCAGAGTGGAACCCTTTCAGTACCAGAAGCTCAGAACTCAGTCTCCATGAGGGTTGCCTACTCTGGGGATCAAGAGTAGTGATCCCAAAGTCATTGCAGACCCAAGTTCTTGGTGTTCTTCATGTCAGCCACCCGGGTATCAAGAAGAGCAAGATGATTGCCAGGAGCCATGTTTGGTGGCCAGGCATTGACAATGACATTGCCAACAGCGTGAAGAGCTGCGCTACGTGCCAGACTCAACATCGAGCTGCACAGCCGGTTCAGAAGACGCCGTGGCCTTTTCCACAACGACCCTGGTTAAGGCTTCACATTGATTTTGGGGGACCATTCCTAGGTCACACATTCTTGGTTATTGTGGATGCGTTCTCAAAGTGGATAGAAGTCTTTCCTGTGTCTTCCACATCTGCAGAAGCTACCATTTCTGCATTGAGAATTGCATTCGCTCAGCATGGCCTGCCTGATGTCATAGTTTCCGGAAGCGGTCCTGCCTTCACCAATGCCCGGTACCTTGAGTTCTTAACACGAAATGGAATACGCGGCATGCTTGTACCGCCGTATCACCCTGCCTCAAATCGTGCAGCTGAACGAGTTGTACAAACTGTGAAGAACAAACTCAAGAAGTATGGTTCTGGGAACTTCCAAACGCAGATCTCCAGGTTTCTGTTCTACTATAGGACCACACCACATGAAGTGGCAGGTCGGCCACCGTGTGAACTCATGACAGGAAGAATGTTCAAGACTCTGTTGTATGTCTTCAGGCCAAGCCTGCAGACATCTGTATTCCTAAAACAGCTCAAGCAAAAGTTGTATCCTGACAGAGGGTCCCAGCAGGCTCCATCACTGCAGCCAGGTGATGACTTTTACTCACGAAATTTTCGCAGGGGTACACCCTGGGTGCCTGCCAGTGTTGTGGACGTCACTCCGTCATCAGCCAATGTCCGTTTTGAAGATGGCACCTTGAGAAACCGGCACAGCGACCACTTGCGCCTTGTACAGACAGAAACATTGGCCTCTCCTGAAACTGCTATCGCTGCAGCTTTACCACATTTGGAGCCGCCGCTTGTTCATGCACCAGCTGTTCCAGAAGTGCCTCATCAGGAACAGCTACCTGGAACTAGCTTCTCTGAGAGTAGCTGTGCCACGGAGAGCGACGGGACTGCGCTCAACAGTGGTGTGCATGAGAACAGTGACTGCCTCGTGCCTACGCCTAGTACGCCGAAGTTGCGACGTGGCACACGAACTAGGAAACTGGTGAATAGGTACTCCCCGTAGTCTTTCTCCTAAGATGGGAGGAGTGTAACAATGTTGGCTTAAATGCAGCGCCCCCACGTGGCGCTGGTAGTTGTGTTGAGCTGTGCAAGCCTGGCATAGCGGGGGGTGGCCGTTTTGGAAACAATAAACCACAGTTCGTTCTGAGCAAAGGGCTCAACATGTTCTCGTGTTCTTCGCGGGGCTGATGGCCTACTGTTCACGGAAATCACTACCGCCTGGCCATCCGTTAATCTATACACATGTATCATCTCCATCTTTTCTAATTTATTATTATTTTTATTAACCTCACCAAGGTCATGTGAATTTTCGTACTGTACACAACACTTTTTAAGGCGAGCCTCACGCGCCACAAGGGGCCCTTTAGGCTTTCGTCTTAGTAAACACGGAATTCCAATTACTGTCAGTGCAGCCATAAGCCAGGCACAATGTATTAATTAGTTCACGGCTTCAGCAAAGTCAATTAGTGAGCAGTTAACAGGCTGCCTTTATAGATGGCATGCTTTGATGTCACTGAAACTGCCGTGTTGAGACAGAAGTATGTGAAGACACATCATCTACCATTTCACATAAATGAGGCTATGAAACGTTTTTCGAAAAGCTTTAACTGCATGTGGATTCAGAATCATGGCTGTTTATTCACAACTGTACCTGAATAAGTTCATTTAGTCGATACATTCAATTCTAAGCACGTGTTCTTTTCCAGTGCAGAGCCGACGTTGCTTTAGATCGGTCAATGAGAAGCCTCTATCGTCGACAAAACATGGCCACCTAGTGACGGTTGCTGAGCAATGGTTGACCGAGCTTCGTGGCATCATATCGGCTCGATTGCAGCGCCACAAAGTAGTGACGAACGTTGTTTTCACTTTGATAAGTTGTGCGACACCGTATTACGAATGGTGTGGTGAGTACGAAGCCACCAAAAACATGGTGCAGAACGCAATCAGCAAGAAAAAAACTTAGATGCGCCACCGAGTGAGTGAAGACAACACGTGACAGAGCGCATATGTACTTGAAAGCAGAAATAAGCAGAACACTCGCTGTACTTCTATGGTATACATAGCCGAGAGCGCGAGAACTGCCGTTATTTTTTGTCTATGCCTTAGCTTCATAAAAAATCTGTGATTTTGGAGCAACCGAAAGCCACCGCTGTGTTTATAACTTCTCTTACCATGACGTCACATGTTAAGTGTCTATGGTGGCAGCCAAGGCCCCGAGAAATTCAAGAGGGCGTTAATAAATACAGAGAAATATTTTGCAATCTGCATGCCTCATCTCTATTAAAACAGGGTAATTTGCTGCCGGGCAGCTTCATTTTTGTTTCACGACCCTTTCAATGCCATCAAAACATCCCGCACGTCCTTCATTGGACATGCAGACGTTCCGGCCACATTCTTTTCATAGTGACGCCACTCGTCCGCTGTCAGGATCAATCGTGGAGTGCCAGTACATTCCGAAGCTGCATCCATGATGTCGCAGGCGAGCTATCTATTGGCTGACACTTTAAACGCAATTAATGAAATGTTTTCTATTAATTCTAGACCTAATGCTACACACTTCGTTTTTAAATACGGGTGTGCTTGATTATACTGTATACAAATACGTGCATCAGCTCCTCGTGCTTCCCCACCTAAATCAAACAAGGCATCGCTAGAAATGTTTGCAACTCATTAGCACCAAAACTACGAAGCTGAACAAGTAGTGCCGCCTGGAGTGAGAACAATGTTCGGGACATCGGCAAATTCACGCTTACCATAGGTGGTTCAGCTTCAAACAATGGTTACGCATTCGTCTATGATGATCGTGAAACGGAATGTCGCGATATTGGTAAGAAATTCCAACGTGGGGAAACACGTGGGCCGGCACACATGCATGACAATGCGGCTGCTTTCTTACCGAAGTATATTTTGCGAAACAAAACAATGAAGTAGCTTGTTTACCTTACGAAAGCCATTTGCACTGATTTGCCCACGAATTCGGTGTGCCGCGCTTATGAAATGCGGTAGAAATTCATTGTCCAGGCATCTGACAACAAAAAGGAAACCTTCAAGGTAGGCACAATGTTAACTAGCAACATTCGGCGAGGAGCAGCAGCAATGAATAACCACTTTTACCAAGCTGCGTGAAAGTGACGGACATGGCTTACCATGGACGATAGGACTCGAAAGTCTGACATCACCGGTCGTCATTTTTTTTGGCCGACAGAAACATGTAACCCATCGTCACAGCAGCGCTCGCGTGGAGGAAGGAAAAGGAATCCGCTCGTTCGTGACTGCCATATTTCCATTTCCCGCGCGGCGTCCAGAAAAAGCCGGGCGGGACCCCAAGCTTGAGAGTAGTTGCTTTAAAAAAAAGAAAAAGCAATGCAACGTCACATCCTGTGAAAACATTTTTCCTCTCCATTCTTCTTTTTTTCCTCTTTCACCTCGCGCATGCGCAAACACTACAGAGTCTTCAAATTCGATGTTCAAGTGATGTTGGCTCGGCATGAAAAATGGCGCGCTTTTCGATATCCTTGAGTTTAAAACCAACCCTGGGGTATGATACAAAGAATTTTGAAAGAAAAAAAAACTGTTTAACTAGATTTGAATTAATATGGTGCATATATAATTCATTGTGTTTTTAAACCATCGATCCTATGAAAGCTGTGCCATGACTGACAGAAAGCTATGTAACAATCTAGCAGTGAAAAAACACAGTAGTGAAGAAACTTAAATTTATTTATTTATTTATTTTCAAATACTGCAGCCCAATGCAGGGCTATTGCAGGAGTGGGCTACATACTGTAGGAAAGAATACGAGTAAACATCAAAACAAGTTCTTCGTCAGAACAAATCACAACAATTATCGCCACATTCTAAGCACAACCGGGTACATAAAAAAAAGGACAACAATGTCATTCCAGTGCCTCCGAAAAATCTGACATATTCATTTCACGAACCGAACCTGGTAGTTCGTTCCAGTGGACAATTTTCGGAAAGAAACTGTATTTGAACATATTAGTACGCGCGAAGAATGGCCTTATGTTAAGATTTTGACCACATCTAGTTGGCAGAGCATTAGCATACACGATGTAATTATCATTAGAAAGCCGGCATGATGAGTGAACATAAGAGTGCAAAAGTTTCAAAGAATCAATATCACGCCTAGCGCACAATGGAGATAACTTCAAAAATTTCATTGCAGATGAGGGCGAAAAATCATGGTCATAGTGATGAAAAATGAAGCGAACAGACTTTCTTTGGACAGATTCAATTTAATTCACGTCATCCACTTTGTATGGATTCCACACACATGAAGCGTACTCTAATATAGGGCGGAGGAGTGTTTCGTACATTAGTAATTTGGTAGATTTTGGCGATTTAGATAATGTACGTCTTAAGTAACCTACCTTTTTTAATGCTTTAGACGTAATGTAGTCTATGTGATGCGACCATTGTATGTTGTGTGTGAGCATAACGCCAAGGTATTTGTACGTCTGTGCTCGGGGAACTGCGATGTTGTTGAAGGAGTATGTATATCGCGATGGTGAATGGCTGTTAGTAAAGGACAAAACTACTGTTTTTTGGAAATTTATGCGCATCTGCCAGTCCAAGCACCAAGAACGAAACTGCGAGAAAGAATCCTGAAGTATGGCATGATCATTAGGAGAACTATTTACCTGGTAAAGTACACAGTCGTCGGCGTACAGGCGAACTTGAGACCTAATATTGCTGGGAAGGTCATTTATAAAAATCAGAAATAAAAGTGGACCGAGAACGGAGCCCTGGGGGACACCAGATGTGACTTTTACGGCTGAGGACGACTTGGAATTTAATGAGACGAACTGAGAGCGGGAGTTTAGAAAGCTTGCTAACCAGTCAATCAATTGAGGATTGTTTAAAATTACCTGTAGTTTACCTAGAAGCTTGCTGTGTATAACGGTGTCGAAATGCTTCGAGAAATCTATAAATAATGCATCAATTTGATTACCATTGTCTAAATTACTAATAATATCATGCGAAAATTCCACCAGTTGCGTTATTGTGCTGAAGCCGCGACGAAATCCATGTTGTGTGCAGGACAGAAGATTATTCGTTTAAGAAACTCAGTTATGTGTTTATGAATGATGTGTTCGAGCAGCTTTCCAGAATTGGAGGTAAGTGATATGGGTCTATAGTTGGAGAGGAGTTGTATGTTTTCTGATTTATGCAGAGGCAGGATCTTGGCTAACTTCCAGGACTCGGGAACTGTACTTGAAGACAAAGATTTGTTAAAAATGATGGTCAAATAACGTGAACACCACAGAGCATATCGCACCAGAAAGCTATTCGGAATATTATCGGGGCCAGTGCACTTCCTCGTATATAAATGGAGAATCAAGTTTAGGGTACCATCTGTGCTAATTACCAGATCGTCGACGGACAGCTCTGGATTTGAAGTTCTAAGCGAAGGGTGAACATTATTGTCGTTCGTGAACACTGACTGAAAATAAGTATTGAACGCATTGGCTATCTTAATGGGGTCTGAAACTGCTTTGCTGTCTAATATAAAGGAAACGGTATCGGTTCTAGCGGGGTTAATAGAAGACCAGAATTTGCGCGGGTTAGATTTTAATAATGCTGGAAGTTCAATTTGGAAATAAAAGTTCCTAGCACATTCCATTTGTTTACGCAGATCTTTCACAGCAGTGTTAAAGCGACTGACAACGTCTGGATTAGCTGTCTTTTTCAAACGGCGCACACGACGAACGCGACGTGAAGTTTGAAGCAAGCTGCGATTCATCCAAGGAATCTGCAGATTTCTTTTTTTGGTCTTGAGAGGAACGAATTGATCAATACTTGACTTTACAACATGCTCAAATGTGCTAACTAAAGTGGCAACATGACCGTGACTACAAAGTGCCTGAAAAGAATCGAAGTTCGAAGCTAGCACATCTGTGATAGAGGCATCATCAGCATGAACGAAATCATGAAACTGTGTAACGCTAAGCTGCTGTTTAATTAGACGGGATGTAAGCGATA